CCCCCCCCCCGTCCCACGAGCAGCCGTCTGCTTCCGGCCCGCTCCCCTCCCCCGCGCAGCCCCGCCCTTCCCTAGTCAGCTGATCGCCGCTCGGTCCGCCGACAAAGCGAGAGGTGCTGCGCTCCTGGCAGTGGGCCAGCCCGTCCCCCGCTCCCCGCCCCGAGGCACGGGTACCATGCCCGGGGCGGCTGGCGGTCGCTGCGCCGGCGGCCGCGGTGAGGGCCCGCCCGTCCCAGGCACAGCCAGAGGGATTCCCGTGTGCCAGCCGCAAGTCACCGTGATTTGGGTCGGGATTGCATTAGCGCCAGAAAATTCACACTCACTCGTTACCTGTCGCCAGTTTTCAGCTGAGTCGTTCTAAAGCTGATGACGCAGAGATGAGCCCGGGCTGCTCCGTTAGCTAGCCGCGCGTGGGAGCCATCACGTGCCGCATCTGGAATCTGAGTGTTTTATTTCTATTCTGCTACCGGTCGTGGTCTTGACCGTCTCAACCAGCTCTCCCATTGCGTCATCGCTTCGAGCTCCGTTACAGATCGCAGCTGATCGCCTCATGAGATGCACATGTATCACATGTGTTTTTAACACTGATTGGGTAGAATAACAAGGATTATCGGTTACTTAACAGGAGGGTAGCTGGTCTGAGAGGTTAAACTCCGAAAAAAGATGACGAGCTTCCTCTCTGAGGGAGGCTGTGATCGAGGCGGTTGCCAAGAGAAGCCCTTCCTCACCCCGGAAATGACGGGAAGGAAGGCGCCGATGAGTCCTCCGGTCCTCCTTTGTCGACGCTAGCTGAGCCTGTTGCGTTACTCCGGCATTGTGGACCACTTCAGCAATGGTGTGATTAATAAACTGGTGTGCTTGTGTAGGCGCTACCGAATGTATTTCCGTCTCCTGCACGGCGCGGCTTGGTGAGGTTTTCTGCAGGACACTGACACCTAAAACTGATGGGTAAACCCGCTGACTCGTTGGCTCGCGTCGGGACTGTTAGACATTGTTAGACCCGGGCTCATGTAACCTTGGTGCCTCCCACTATGGCCAGTTCCGACCGGTATCTAGTGCAGTGTGTCGTTATGAGGGAAAATTGCATTGTTCGGGGCTCTGTCGCGCTCCGGCTGATATGAACCGGGCTTACATACGACTGATGTGAACCGGGCTTACACATGGCTGATCTGAACCTGGCTTGCACATGGCTGAGGTGAGCCGAGGTTACCATGGTCATGGGTTCAAAGCCACAGCTTTGGCCTTCCCAGGGTCGAGAGCCTGACTTACATGAGAGCCCAACTGACATTTGATGGTTTTCTGCTCTGATGGTTATCTATTCTGTTACACGTATTAACTTGGTTTTCATTTCATATCCGTCATGTTGTGCCCCACCAATTTGATTATGTTTAGAACTTTTCGCACTAAAGTCGCGGTTCACAATTAAATTATGGGTCATCCTCATGTTTATTTTACACGAGAAAGTGCATCTGTCGTTGCAATGAATTAAAAACAATTGCATTCTGTGTCGTTTTGCCCACCATGTGAGGAGTTCGTGTGCAGCATCTGATGCGACGAAGGTGACCCCCGTGTGACACCAGTGCTCCCCAGCCTAGTGAGCGGAGGAGTTTGACTAAACTGTAACACCCACGTCCCTCGTGTCTCCCCTTTGAGTCTCCGTACTGTGACGCCACTGAACCCGTGACTAACGCCACCCTGTGCCCGTCAGGTGGAGGAGGCTCCGACGCGGTGAGGGCCGGCCGGGAGCCGCCCGCGGCCGCCCTGAGTCACCATGCTCTCTCAGATGTTCTCCCGACTGGTGATCCTCGTCTTCGGCACACTCTACCCCGCCTTCGCCTCGTACAAGGCCGTCAGGACCAAGAACATCAAGGAGTACGTCAAATGGATGATGTACTGGATCGTGTTCGCCTTCTTCACATGCCTGGAGACGGTGACAGACTTGTTCCTGGTGTGGTTTCCCTTCTACTATGAGATCAAGATCCTGCTGGTTATATGGCTGCTCTCGCCGGTCACACGGGGGTCCTCGATTCTCTACAAGAAGTTTGTGCACCCCTGGCTGGAGAGGAATGAGAATGAGATCGACCAGTACATTGAGCGCGCCAGTAAGAAGAGCTACTCGACCGTCATGACGCTGGGTGTGCGGGGAGTCAACATGGCCACCCAGGTGAGATCGGCGCTTCAGGCGGGTGTTAGATTAAGTTATATAATGAGCGGTTTTTGAACAAGTTTGATTAGTTTTGCTTTCCTCCGCCAATGGTTATTGTACTGACAGTGACAAGCTGCTGAGTGCTTACTGATACGTTAGTAATGTAGCTAAGGGACGATCACATTAGAGCAGCTGACTTCTTCGTGCATGTTGAGGTGCTTTTGCAAACCTTAACCTTTGATCTAAGACCGCCTCTCAAAATATTTACAAAATGCATGAAAAATATTAACATTTAGTTATGGTGTGATGTTCCTTATCCGAAACTTCTGTATCGAATGTGATGTTAAACTTATCGAGTTCCACCGATGTTGTCTCACCTTGGTCTCACCTAAAGAGCTCTCAACCACACAGAAATGTCGAGCTGTCTTCCCTTTCCGACCTGCCGCCGATGACTGTTGTCTCAAATCTGGACCATGTTGGCCGATGCCTAACATCTCCCACGTTTGTCAATACCAGACTCCCGGACTCCTGAACCTAGCGCTGTAGCCATCTGTCATCCCCACCCTCCCTTCCTACTGCCGGTATGTGCGAGACTCGGGGAGGACCGGCCCGCAGCGCTCTCCCGCTCCATCGGACGGAGCACCTGCACGGCACAGGTCTATTCCTAGCTGCGTGCGGCCGCCGCGCCCGCCGGACAGATTTACATAAACACGCGCGATATAGCGGCGCTCGCAGCGTGTGTGCTTACCTGATTCACATGGGATGTAAACTGGCGGAGAATGTTGATGGGCCATAAGGGTGAAATCAAATGGGGACGCGGAAGCGTGGGTTAGCGTCGGATTGGCATGCCTGACGTTTTGTTGGGCTGGCTTGGTCAGAAAACTGTCATGTGAGCTAGTCTGTTGGTGGCATCCTTGTCAGCAGTTTCCGCTGCATGGCAACATTTTCATAGAATTCTTGACTCAGTAGCTGCTCAAATTTACAGCAGCTATGTTCAAATTCCTCAAACTACACCTTTTGAACTAATCCAAGTGATGTATTCCTCTGGCCGTAGTTCCTTGTGTTGTGCGGCTTTGTTTACTATGGTTTACGGTGACCTGTAGCTGTCTACTCCCGTCATAACATCTGTCAATCATGGCCTGTCTAGTGACTACTCTAACTGTCGATTCCCTTGCGTTTCATATGCACTCTTCAGTCAGTCTAACCTGGCGCGTTGCGGCGCTGTGACCTGTAATTACGCGACCTGTTCTGACCTGACATTACCTCTCCGACAGATGATCATGCAGACGGCGATCCGCGGCGGCGGCGGCATCGTCGACCACCTCAGGCGCAGCTACAGCGTCAATGACGTGGCCGACCTGGCCGGCGGCCCGGACGCCGGCGACTTCAACTCTAACCGCGTGAAGCGGCTGCCGCAGATCGTTGACGTGACGGAGGAGCTGGACTCCGACGCCGAGCCCGTCACCTTCCCGATGGCCGGTCCGTCGGCTGGCGCCGCCGAGGCGGCCGCCGAACCCAAGCGCCGACCGCGCCGCGCCGCCACCAAGCCGGCGGTGCCGCGCGCGCGCGCCACGCGCAAACCGCGCTCGGCCGAGCGCGAGGAGAGTGACGAGGCGGACCGTCCGCCGCCGCCGGCCTGGGAGCAGGCGCAGTCGATGGAGGATATCAGCTCCGGGTACAACTCCGGCGAGCCGTTCTACGACGCCGTCACCCGGGAGGACGATGACGCAGCGCTGGCCGGTCGGCGCTCCGGCGGCAGCCGCGCAGCGCGCGCCCGACCGCCCCTGCACGGGCAGCGAGCCTCCACCCGGGTCAAGTCGTCAGCGACCACCGACGTCTCCGGGTACGCCACGCTGCCCCGACGGCGCGCCTCCACGCGAAAACCCATTCCCAAGTATGACTGAGCCAGTGCGGGTAACGAGGGTGAGGTTGGGTGGCCGGACGTGCAGTGGGTAAACGAAGGACGCCAGTCAGGTGGGAAAAGATCATGGTTAGTGAAAATGAGTAAGGGATGTGTTGAGGGTGCTCCATGGGATGAGTTTGGGGCTCGCAGACCTGCGGGTCATCCACCAGTCACTGTGCTCTAGGGGACCTCCCTCGGGCTCGTACCAGCCGGCTACCACAGGCCGGTGCACAGTAGCGAGTGCGGATCGGCTGTCTTGGCGCCTGTCTGCACGGGATCCGTGGCGGCCGCACATTTACTCGAGATTCCACGACGATATTCCGAACGGAGAGTGGTGTGGACGATTTACGGGAGATCTTTCGCCCCAGCGAGCTTCCCTCGATCTGCTTTTTACCGAAAATTCGCCGCCCGAACTTCTGTTCCGTGGGATTTTTTACCGAAACTATGCACCGTTCTACGTTCTGCGTGTTGACCGTTTGGAGAGACTACTGTGATCTCATTTAGAACGTTCTCTGGGCTGTGCCGCCCGGCTGTCCCCCGTTCTCCGGTGAGAACGTGTGGCACAGACGGGGCGCACAGGGCCGCGTCGGGAGCATGTCGTGTCGCCACGACCGACTCGGTTTGTCGTAGCTTAAACATGCCGCGCGCCGCCGTTCATTTTTTGCCACGCGTGTCGGTTTGTGTGCATGTTTTTTACGCAAACGATAACGCTTACCCCGTGAAGTATGTTTGCTCACCCCCACTTTTCCGTCCCGTCCTTTAGCCAATAAATTCCTGATATTTGCGACTAACGAGGCTTTGTGACCCGTGTGACCCGTGTGTGTGTGCTAGTGCTGGCTGGGACGTGTGTTATTTTACCACCGGTCACGAGGATACAAGACATCCACTCGGGATCGTACCCCACAGGGGCGCCGGCGGCGGCTGGGGGCGGCGATACAGCGCCCGCCGGCCGCCAGCCGCCCCCCACCGTGATACCGTACATGTCAACTAACATAATGTATTTGTGAACAATAAACCATTATCATTTTGTGACTGGCCTGTTTTTAGTTCGCTCAGATTTTTCTCTATAACTGGCTTGGCTTGCTTGTAGTGGCGTGGCCGAGGCGATGTGAGTCACGCCCGAGAGGTATGACGCTGTGGCATGCTGATATGAATGAGAATGACAATGGTAGGTTACACGTAGTAGATACGTCATACGCTTCACATATGCGAGGAATGGTGAGTCGGTGAAGTGTTGTGATTGCCTGAAAATAATCCTGGCCATTAGTTCAATATCATTCAGACTGCAGAGACTTCCGAAGATTCTGTGGTTGTCTAGTTTATAAAATTGTATATGCAGGAAAGAGCTGAACATTCTGGAACGGAACATACCGAAATGTTGGCTAATGTTGGTCCTTGGACCTTGGACAAGACATCCTGGCCTAATCACCAAAAACAAAAAAACAAAATCCAGCTACGCAGTACGCCAACAACATTTGATTGTAATTGCAGCCGAAGCTGTTTCTATCATTGCACAGACTCATCCTAGATACTATTCTAATTTGATAGAGGATTCTTATGGGATCGATTCGCCAGCAGCATATGAAGAAACTCCTCGTTCGTGAAACATGTATTAGAACGATGACCAAATCATCTTAAATGCCCGTTAGTAACAATAGGATGGCACCTAAACTAATTAGCACTGTTCAGTAATTAGCACGTGCCCCATTTACCCTAAGTACCGCTCAGGTAGCATCTCTGCATCCCCCCCAGTTCGTTAGTGTCAAGTCAAAAGTGGCTTGGTAATGAACGAACTTAACAGCCTGAACGATTTAACCAAACTGTAGCAGCTCCCAAGGTAGCAGCTACCCGGTGCGCTCCCTCCAGCATCCTGTCTCAGGCTCGTAGAACTTCGCGGGCTTGAACTTGCGTGCGGAGCGCCGTGGTCCCGGTGGGATCCGAACGGTGTCAGCTGGTGGGAGTTCAGCATTCCCTGGTGGACGCTGTGCATCCGTTACCACTGGACCTGAGCATGGGCTCAAAGTCGGAGCCAGTTGCGTGTCCTGGGTGTGACGTTCTGGCTCATACTGTACCCTTCGTGTCTCGGGTGAGTCGGGAGGGTGGATGACTGGCGTCGACAGGCTGCTGGGCGCCTCCAGTCTGCGTCCAGTCACCGGGGCACGAGGTCCGATACTGAGTGTCGCCGGTTGGAATGCCCTTAGGAATCGACGATTTCTGTTCGTGATGCGACCCGTGCCGTCCACCTTCACGCAGTACTGGTCATGCCCCAGGGCTTCCATGACGACGCCTGAGCGATCCCATTTGTTTGGGTGGGAGCCATGCTGATTTTGAATGAAGACATGTTCGCCGACTAAGAGAGGACGGAGCGGGCGGGATCCCTTGGTCATCTCTTCGGTTGTGCGTGTCATGCGTGCTCGCAGTGCGTCCTCCTTTGCTGCCCAAGCATCTCGCCAGATGGGGCGGATGTTCGGGTTGGAGAACTTCTCAAGTCGATTGACGAATGAGAAAGCATCACGCAGGGGCCGACCAAAGACTATTTGTGCCGGCGAGACGTTGCAGTCCGGGTCAGGGGTATTTCTCAGCTGCAGCATTGCACGGAGAAAACTGTCCTGGTTGAGAGAGCCGTTGGGACCAGTATTTGACATGAGAAGGCGTTTTGCCGTCTTGACCGCGACTTCAGCTCTGCCGTTTGATACGGGGAAGTAGGCCGACGAAACACGATGCCGAACACCCCAGGTGCTGAAAAACTCCTTGGTTGAGCTTGCCGTGAATTCTGGGCCACCGTCCGTAGAGATCTCTTCCGGTACACCGAACGTCCTGAAGAAGGCTCGGAGGTGGCTGATGAGGCCAGAAGCGCCTGCCATGACAGTTCCCGAGGTCGACCCGAATACTTCTACCCATCCAGAAAGACGGTCGCCCACGACCAAGTAATGACGACCACCATGGTCGAAGAAATCAGCGAAGACAGCCTCGAATGGTGTCGATGGTGGCGGTGATGGGATGGGTGGCGTGTCAGCCTGCGACGGTGAGTTACGGTTGCAGTCGGTGCAGCGATCGCGGGTCTCCCGGATATCTTTGCACATGCCTGGCCAATATACAATGGTGCGCGCGCGCTGCTCCATCATTGATATGCCCTGGTGAGCAGAATGGAGGTTGGCCAATACACGATGGCGCAGAGCTGGGGGGACGACAACTCGGTCCTGGTAGAGGATGACGCCGTCTTCCACGTAGAGGGAGTCGAAGAGATGATGGAGCTGGGCTACTGTGGGATCTTGTACACGGTCGATCCAATGTCCGCTCTCGATCATGTCGAGGAGATGACGCCAGGAAGCGTCCTTGGTCGTCTCTTCTGCGATGAGCGACCAGGGGAGCGCCATGTCGCGAGCTTCGTGACGAATTGCTTCAGTCAATGCGACTTCCACCAGATCCTGTGCGCTGAGTTCTGAGCCACTCGTAGATTGAGACGCAGTTGGGTTCCTGGAGGCAGCGTCGGCAGCATGATTTGATTTTCCTGGCAGGTGCATGATCTTAAATCGCCATGGCAGAGTGCGCTGTTTCAACCGAAACAGTCGGCTGTTCGTGATCTCGTCAAGGGTCCTGTCTCCGAAGATTTTGATCAGGGGCTTATGATCTGTAGCGACGACTAAGTCATCGCAGCCTTGGGTGAAGAACCTGCTTTGTTCCAAACCCCAAGCGACGGCGAGTGCTTCCCCTTCGACGGGTGCGTACCGCTGCTCGGCGGACGTCAGAAATCTGGAGCCAGCCAGGGTGATTCTCCAGCCATTCGGACAGCAGTCGGGCGAGTCTGACCGACAACTGCAGTGCTGCTGGAGGAGAAAGTACCCAATCCCTCGGCAGGACCAATCAGGACGCAGGCACGTCTTCTTTGTCACGTCGAAGATCTTGACGCCGTGTCTGATCGCATCAACTATGACTGTTTTTGATTTTTGGAACGCCTCTTCCAGTTCCGGAGACCACACAAACTTGTGGCGTGGGCTGAGGAATGGCTTGAACAATGCAAGGGCATCGCGCAGCTGCGCATAGTTGGCTACCTGGTTCACGAGACCAAACCAGCTTCTTACGTCAGTGGTTGACGTTGGCGCTGGGAAGTCCCGGATAGCATCGAGGTACTTTGGTAGCGGTTCGATGTCCGTTTCAGAGATGTGGAAGCCTGCAAAGTCAGCTGACCGCTTGGCGAACTGAAACTTCTCTGGGTTGAGGACTATGCCAGCTTTTCCCACACGAGTGAGGAAGTCGATCGTTCTCCACCAGTGCTCCTCCAGGTTGGAATCGTAGTGGATGGTGTCATCGACACATCGTTCCTTCCGTTGGAACGTTGACAACACTGCATCGAAACGGCGGTTGTATCCATCTCCAGACGAGAGGAAACCCTGAGGTGCACGGGTGTAGCGCCACCTGCCGAACGGCGTTATGAACGTGGTGAGGTGGCGATCGGTCTCTCGAAGTGGGACGCTATGATAGCCATTCCATGCGTCTGTCACTGTCTTCCACGTGTTACCGGGGACACGCCTGGCTAGGTGGAACGGAGACTCTGCAGAGAACGTTTCTCGACGACAGAACTTGTTCAGAGGTGACAAGTCCACCGTTCGTCGCGGAGATCCGTCATGCTTCCGAGTAATGACCATCCGATGACACCATGACACTGGTTCGCCGTAGGGGACACGTTCGATGACACCCAGTGCTTCATCCCTGAGTAGATCTTCATGGACCTGTTTCTGCCAGTGCAGAGGTATGTTAGCCGCGGTATGACACGTCCGTGGAGTGGCGTTTGGGTCCATGTGGATTTCTAGCGGTGGGCCCTCCATGCATGGCATGGGCTGATGGGGACAGGTGTTGAAAGTGGACGCGCTATACCGATCCAGTAACCAGGTCGCCATCCGCTCGTTGTTGTCTGGTGTGCAATCGAACGGTAGGGAGGTTGGTCGGGGCGGTACTGACGTACGTAGTGGGCACGAGCAGGGCGCTTCTCCGACCGTCTCTGTCACGTTGCATCCACCATTGACCGAGCGTAATGTGCTGGGGGATGGAGTTGAGATGCCGTCCTCTCTGTCCGGCGCGGCTAGGCCCTGCTTTTCAGTGCCCAGTGTCCCTCTTTCTGCACTGGCTTTTGACTTAGCACCCCCGGCAGGAAAGTCCGCCGACAGCATGCCAAGCTCTAGCATGGTCTCATATGAGAGATACATTGAATGTACAGCGTTGCTGACGTAAATCATCGAGCGGCAGGTGGTGACTTCTCCCCCAGAGGTGTGGCTAGTTATCCTTGCGAAGAACGCACCCTCTATCGGGATAGGCGATCTGTTGGCCGCGGACATGCCGAGCTTGACACGGAACAGACTGTCCCGAGAGAACCCGTGGGCCAAGTACTCTTTAAGAGACCACAAGTCAGACTGCGCACCTGTGTCTGCTACTGCAGATACCTGAGCCCGGACCGATGGATCCGGGGGAGCCCGAGGTCGGTGCTTGGCGGACATGTCAGCAGAGATCGTTATGTTGACCCGGGGGTGGTCACGGAAACGTGCTTTCTTCCATTCTCCTTTGTTAAAGATATGGTGGTCCAGGACGACGCTATTGACAGTGTTCTTCCGGTGTGAAGGTTTCTTCCGTCCTGTTTTTTGTGCTTCCCGGCCCACTGAGCAGGCTTCTTCAGTGGTCATCTGAGAGACCGTGTCGGTCTCTACCGTCTGTGCGGCAAGCTCAGTCTGAGGCTGGGCCGTCGGTGAGCGTTTATCTCGACGTTTTGCACGGAAACAATCCAAACAACGAGGGTGAGGTTTTGCGTTCCACCCACGAGGGCCTTCAGTGAACACGCAATAGCGTTTGTTGCAGTCTGGACAGTTGACCTGTCTCGTCCGATCTGCAGCAGATGGGACAGGTGTCGACACCTGAGGCCCTGGGGGACTGCGCTGCCGTCGGAGGGTCGATACCGCTGACATCGACGGGGGAAGAGCGTTGCGGGCCATTTCTTTGGTTTCCACCAGCGCGATGACGTCATTTACGGCCATTGAGTGAAT